GTGTGACAGACCACTTCCCATATGTCAGAAGTTATTTTTTTCTTTCTCATCACTGGATTAGGCTGCCATAGAGAGGAATTTGGTGATTTCACTTATATATATAGCTTACATTTAAAACATATATATACATTTGTGTATAAATATATATACATTTTGAATATACAGACATTGTCAATGATGCTTAAATTTATATTTTACATATATGTCATATATATGTTATGAGAGAGAGAGAGAGAGAGAGGATATGGGAGAGAGCTACGGGTAGAACCTAGGGCCTCACACATGCTAGGCAAGAGCTCTACCACACTGAGCTCCACCCTTAGTTCCACTGTATGTGTTTCTGGCATTATTGCTCCAAGGTAAATGAGGCACATTCTAGTTTTCATGGCTTTTTCCTGCTTATTTTTTGCAATTCTGGAGATGGAATGTATCTCATGTCCTCATACATGCATCCATGGCCCCATACTTATTCTTTTATTTGTTCAGTTTTTGGTACTGGGAATCAAACTCAGGACCTTGGGCTTGCCAGACAGATTGGTGCCATTAACTTAAATCCTCGGCCCCTCAAGCTCATTCTTAATGCATACTAAAGGAAGGTCTATAAACAGAAAGGAATCTATAACCTAAGGATTCTGGGACCCCAGGAATAAAGAAAGAATAAAAGAATGGGTATAATAGGGGTGAATATAATAGGCTAAGATTCTTATTCTTTTTATAAATACTATTTATTTATTTGGGTTTTTGAGACAGGGTCTTACTATATAGCCCAGGCCAGCCTCAAACTCATGCCAATCCTCCACCCTCAGCCTACCAAGTGCTGGGATTATAGGCGTTGAGTCACCACTCCTGGTTTAAAGAGACTAAAGTTTGAAGCAAAAATTACAGCATTATCTAGTGTAGCAGTCAAGATGCATGGATGAACTAGTTAAGACATTAATATATATGGATAGGGAGAAGAAACTGGGGTGTAGCTCAGTGATAGAGCAAGCACTTAGCATGCATAAGGCCCCAGGTTCCATCCATGCCGGACCTAAATAAATAAATAAATAACATTAAGAATGATGAAGTGATCTAAATGCCTCTTAGGTTTCTATAACTCATTTAATGTGGTAAAGTATTGGTTACTAGAAGAATATGATATGTTACATATGTATGCTCCATTGAATGAAAGTGAAGTTTGAAAAAATTCAAGCAGATTTCACAAGAGTGAGATAAGAAAAGGACAAAAAGTGGAATGAGCAAACTGAATCTAAATAACAAAATGGTGCACTCAAGTCCTAACATAATGCTAATAATTACTTTTTAAATTTTATTTATTTTTGGTACCGGGGCTTGAACTCAGAACCTTGTTTCTGCAAGGCAGGTGGCAGAATCACTGAGCTAAATCCCCAGTCCTCTGATAATTAGTTTAAATGTATATGTCTTAATGTAAGATTTAAAATTTAGATTGACAGTTGATAAAAGTACATGACTCAATTATATGCAATCTGTGTTAAGCTCATTTTATTTATTTATTTGTTTTGTGGTTCTGGGGATTGAATTTAGGATCTTGCAGTCACCAGCCAGGCAGTGTCATTGAGCTACATCCCTGACCAATTAAGTTCTTTTAAACACAATGACATAATCAGGGTAAACAAAAGAATATAAAATGTTAATCACACAAACATTAACAAATAGGAATGGGTAGGCTCTATTAGTATCACCGAAGATAGACTAAAAAGCCTTGCAAATTATTAGGTACAAGGAGTACTATTATGTAAGGTTGATAGAATCAATCAGCCCAAAAGATACGGTGACCCTATATGTGTATTCCCCAAACAACAGAGGCTCAAAAAATACATAAGTCAAGAACTGATTAAGCTAAAAGGAAAAATATTTAATTCCATAATGGTAAGTTTTTATATTATTATTTTTTTGAGACAGGGTCTTGCTGTGTAGCCCAGGCTGGCTTTGAGCTTATCTTCCTGCCTCAGGCTCCTGAGTTCTGGAATTATAGGAGTGAGCCACCATGCCAGCACACTAATAGTAGTTTCTTGAGGTTAGTAATTTTTTGTTGTCTTGGGCAGATATTAGAAAAGAGGAGCAAAACAAATTCAAAGCAAGTATAAAGAAGGAAATACTGAGATAAAAGCAGAAATAATAAAACATAAACCAAAAACAATAAAATGATGATTCTTCAAATAATAGCAATGAAACCAAACTTTTAGCATGACTGATATAGATTAAAAGAGAGATGACAAAAATCTCCATTATAAGGAATGAAACTAGGTATGTATCCTGTATATCCTACAGTTACTAAAAAGATAGCAATAATAATACTCTGGTGTGATGGTGCATGCCTGTAATCTTCAGCACTATGAGAGGCTGAGGCAGAAGGATCTCAAAATTAACCCCAACTTGGGCAAATTAGAGGCTTAGTGAAACAAAACAAAGGAATAAACAAGCAAAGAAGCAAAAAGAGTTGGGGATATAGCTCAGATTGAAGGCCCTGGGTTCAATCTTCAATATTGGAAAAAAGAAAAGATAATTAAGGAGCGGAGGATGTAGCTCAGTAATAAGAGTGCTTGTCTAGCATATATGAGGCCCTGAGTTCAATGCTCAGCACTGCAAATAAGATAATGAATAAATAAGAAGATGATTAAGGCTGGTCATGGTGGTACATACCTATAATCCTAGGGATTCAGGAGGCTGAGATGGGGGGGTAGTCAGTTTATAAGCAGCCTGTGCAACTTACTGAGACTCTGAATCAAAATAAAAAATACAAAAGGCTGGGTATGTAGCTCACTGGTAGAGTGCATATGGGTTCCATCCCCAGCAAAACACACACACACACACACACACACACACACACACACACAATTAAGGAAATAAACTAAAACGAAACAAAGCTCTATGTTTATGATTTCAACAACTTTGAAACAGTAAATACTTTAAAAATTAAAAATCATGAAATTTAATTAAGATGAAATGGTATGCCTATAATCCCAGCACTCTGGAGGTTGAGACAGGAGGATTGTGGGTTTCAGGCCAGCCTGGATTTTACAATGACTTCAAGACCTATAAATATTAAAGGATCTCAATTTGTAATTTAGAGGCCTCCAAAAGACATTATCAAGCAGAGACAGTTTCACTGGAGAGTTCAAATATTTAAATAAGAATTGTTTAATGTTATGCAAGCTTTTCCGGAGAATAGGACCCTGACCCTGACCCCTTACCCACAGAAATTAGATCCTAAAACAGAAAACTCTAGATCATTATTATTCATGAATTTAGATACAAAAATCTTCAATAAAATATTAGCAAGCAAAACTCATCAATGTATAAAAGTATCATACACTACAACCACAAAGGATTTATTTAGGTATGCAAGATTTGTTCAACATCTGAAAATCAATGTAATCCACAATATCAACAGGCAAAAGAAGAAAACTATATAATGACCCTCCCTGTTCCCCCAATTCTGGGAATCAAACCCATGGTCCTGAGACCATGCTAGGCAAGCAGTCTATATCACTGAGTCTTAATGATACATCGTTTTCTTTTAAAATTTAATAGTAGAGTTTGAAACCAGGGGAACTGTACCACTGAGCTATATCCTCAAAGCTTTCTATTTTTTAAATTTTGAGACAGAATCTTGCTAAGTTGCCCAGGTGGCCTCAAACTTGTGATCATTTTTCCTCAACATCTCAAATAGTTGGGATTACAGGTGTGTACTACCTCACTAGGCTTTGATTACACTTCTTTAAAAAAATTTTTTTCTTTTATTGAGTTTATTGGTACATTTTAGGTATACAGTACAATTATGTTCATTATTGGGATCTTGTACCTTTACATGACAGGTCTTGGTTCTCATTTTTTTCCCCCTTGTTCCTGCCCTCCCTTCACCCCCTCCTCTCCTCCCCATTTACAAACACTTTATTTCCATTTTTTTCATTTTCTCATATTTTTTTCTTTTCCCTTATTCCCTTTCCCCTACCCTTCCCATTTTCCCTACACCTTTAGCCCTTTTCTTCCTAT